GACCGCCGAAGAATTGATGCTTTTGAATTGTGGTGCTGGAGGAGACTCTTGAGAGTCCCCTGGACTGCAAGGAGAACAAACCTATCCGTGCTGAAGGAAATCAACCCTGAGTGCTCACTGGAAGGACAGATCCTGAAGCTGATGCTCAGGATCTATCTTTGGCCATCTCATGAGAAGAGAAGACTCCCTGGAAAAGACCCTGATGTTGGGAAAGTGTGAAGGCAAGAGGAGAAGGGGACGACAGAGGACAAGATGGCTGGACAGTGTCATTAAAGCTACCAACATGACTTTGACAAAACTCCAGGAGGTAGTGAAATATAGGAGGGCTTTGCGTGCTGTGGCCCATGGGGTCATGAGGAGTTGGACATGACTTAACGATTAAACATCAACAACAAGGAGCTCTTTGAATCTTGGTCACTGGTCTTTTGTAAACTACTAGATTTAATTTTTTAAAAATATAACTGCTAAAAGGGAGTTTGTTTTGTAACACAGTATTTGCTCAGCACTTTCTGTTTGGCTTGTTAATGTACTGTGTTGCATTCACATAGTGGAAGTTATTTCTGAATAAACTGAATCTCTTGCTCTTAACACAGATCCATTAAAAAGATCCATTAAGAAAAATCTGAGAAAAAATTAAATAATTTGGTGCTTTAACCTGACAAAAGTTAACAGCCAGTTGGGCAACAGATATGTGTTTTCTAACATCCTTGAAGCATTACTGCAGTTAATCTTAAGGAAAGCACAGTGGCGAGAGGAAGTAACATTTACTGTATAGACCATTTTTCTTTTTGTTACATTTTCATTTAAAAGTTTGAATTTTCTAATAATGTTAATATAAAGTAGTTGAAAAGGGCTAAACAGAAGATGACGTTTGAAAGTATATAACTTGCAGACCTGTATTTTTGGAGTTGTATTAGCACTGTTTTGTTCATTAGTGGAGAAAGAAACAGTTCTGCTTGAAGAGTTTATTTCACAGGGCATATTCTAATGTGCAAAACCATGGTTTCCAGAGTTTTAAAAGCATGCACTGTACTGTATTCTACTGTTACTCTGTATATAATTACTTTTACACTGCCTGT